CGATATGAAAACGATTGAGGCTGTGATCGCGTTTGTAACCTCAGCCTTCGATGGAGTCTCTAAACGAACCATCCATGGCTTATCCTGCATCAGCTGAGCAGGAGAGGTCCGGAAGCAGAGGGTCAACTGAACTGATCTTAAATATGCTCCACCCAACGACCCATACGGCGCTCCTTATCGTGAACCATGGGACGCGGACTGTTTCTGAGTGTCTTACTGAAGCTTGGTTTCTTGGGACTAGTGATGCGATTCCGCTGAAACGGCTCCCGATAGTCGTGTAGCGTCCCCGGCCTCCTCCATTTAATGAGATCTATGGTAAACTAAGCTTCCTTGTCAGCACGCAGGCTCCGCTTTAGTTCGCGTCTAATAGTCCGTCTGGTTACATCGTGCTGAGATCTAGCACGAAGCATTCTCCTGGAGTACAACAGATCATCGACCTATCGGATGTCGAATAAGAATGACTCGCAAGGTGGCAATTGATAATGTCCCAAGCAGAGACTCCAGCCTCGTACATGGCAGTCGAGATTCTATTCCACTGAAGTTCTGTGTCATTAGTCGGCCCGTAGCCTAGAGATAACGAGCTTGTGAACTCGCGGCGCAGGTTCGAATCCGGGTAGGGGTGAGCGACCTCGCAGTATACATCCTGCATGCGACTGCTGGTGGTCGCACGACAGCGAAGCGCAGTTACGGCATGCAGCCGACACATTATTATTTATTCTGTATTCTTAGGTCGAGAGAGCGCAGGGCATCCTGGTAACCACATCAAGAGAGCAAGATGCTTGGTGCGCCTCCCGGTGAAGTTCATGGAAACTGATCGTCTCTATTAGCTGCTCACTGAAGCATAACTATGGCAACAGGAGATGAAGAAAATAAATTAAAACTTGGATAGGTGCGCACCATCAGCCCGGGTGGATGTCGATGATTATATGCAGAACAGAATATGATGCAGCCACGTAATCCGAGGAGTGCTATTTTTTGATCCAATGAATCTGATTCCTCAATACTTTATCCGACGAAATTAGGTTCTGTTTATTCATTCTGAATGGGCTTTTCCTCATTCTCGTGTTCTGCCGAACACCAATATTAGTAGCGTTCTTCCCATAGCGACGTGTTAATATGATAGATTACTTGTGGATTTTGTGAGTAGTGAAATCATGTATTAAATTGCGCACCTGATCGTCAGTCCTCGGTAGCTCAGTGGTAGAGCAGCGGATCGGTAATCTGTGGGTCCGGGGTTCGATTCCCCGTCGAGGCAGATTATTGTGCGAAGTTTAATCGTCGCTTCTACTTTCTACGACAATATGATAAAGTCTGCAGTATGCTGATGAGTTGTGTGGTTGTCTAAGTTAGCTTGACCTAGGGGTGAAATGAAAACATATATATACTGGTTATAAATAAATAAATATATGAAACAGTACCTATGGTATCACACCCATTCTACTCCATAATGACCGGAAACTTAAAAGCTACTACTCACGGCGGAATCGTCGTTCGTCAAAAGAGGCGAGTAGCACAACGGTCTCGAAGGAGACACAGAGGCATCCACCATGTTTGGTATCGCCTGAACATAAGTAGATTCGAACTCAGTCGTACAGTGTACAGCTGTGTGTGGTTCAGTCACGCACGAAGTCCATCGATCAACGGTGATACAGGTCGGTGGGTTCGCAGAAATGGGTTCCGAAACGATGTCAGCGCATAATGCGATCGAACAATTGGTCACGGATCCCACAAAGGAATCTGGTGGATCAGCAAAATTTCCCAATAGGCGTTCAGACTCAATACTATTGGTAGTTGACTGGAAATCGTTGAGAGAATCACCCGACATAGGAGAGTGCAGCTCGTGGCTCAAGGAGTGTGTGGTCGACGGCGCTCGGATTAGCTCATTTGTGTCATGTTCAGATTCCCGGCGAGCAATGCTGCTGAAGTTGTGCGAAGGATGAGCTTTGCTTCCTAATAAAGAGCCCTCATTTGCACGCCGACGTGTCTTCACGCGGGAATAAAGATCATTGGAACTCAAATCGATCTTGCCATCCCGAACGTCATCGAAATACTTAGTTTTTGATGCAACCAGCTGGTGTTTAGGGACATATTCGTAACGACCAGCGACACGAGACTTGACAACATCCTTCCTTTTATGTGACCTTTCATTAGCTGGACGATTCCTATCCATGCCGATGACATTTTCGGAGCGTAAACTAGATTCCAGCTGAACAGAAAGCGAAGTCGGTACGGATTCAGAGATATTCGTGACAACGGAAGGCAATTCACTTGGAGGATCTGCTCGAGAGTCCACATTATGCACCACTTGAGGAGACGAAGCAACGGAATCTAGGATACTTGATAGGTTCTGTTCCGGTTCCCAACTGTCAGCCTCTGGAGGGAAGCCTTGCCAACGAACCTTGTAGAATTTCTGACCCTTGATCGATTTCCTTTCGATGATCCTTTCAACGAGATAAACGGGATCTAACTTTTCGTCAGCCGACGTATCAGATAAGGGCAAAATGCGAGTGTTCGATCGAGAATTTCGGAATTTCATATTACACGAACGAGATACAAAGTTGCGTCGCCGTCGGAAATGGCACACCCGTAGACGCTTACGAAGTGATGTTTTGATAGCGGGTGCCATAGGTGCGAGAAGACGAAGCCTAAAAAACAGAAATAAAAATATGTAATTTAAGGTGGAAGCCGACCTGCACGTTAATGTTGCAGATGCACCAACATGAAACAAGGTAAAAAGTGCATAAATAGTGTAAAATGAAGTGAATGTGCAAGTGGATACAATAACGCAACTAAAAAGCAAGATGTCAGGAGCCATCAGTCGAACACTGAACAGCGCTGATCAGTGACAAGCAAGAAAAGCAGCTGTGACATAAAAGTTAGGGGACTACTGCAACAACGAACACCGGTAGCAGCACATCAATGCTCCGTTATCACCCAATTATAAAAATAAGGAGATAGGAGAATGAGGGCACGGGACAAACCAGAAGTGCACTAAGCAAATATTCAGAGCTAAAGCGCAAACAGGCTCCACAGATAACAATATTATACAAGTCTTACATGGGCAGTCCGAATAGGATACGTGTCACCGATGACAATCGTCGCTAAGGGTTCGCGTTAAATACAAGGTGGATCGCATGGACTATAGCCCATGTGCAGTGGAACAACGGTACCTAAATTGGTAGATAGTAATTTAATTTGCTTATGCCAAATCAGCCATAACATACACGAGCTCAAAGTTATCATACTTTGGTAACAAGGCAAGGTGTTCCGTACGACTCGGTGAGCGGGTATAGGTAGCGTGCGCTCAAACCTATGATGTGCTGGTCAAAAAAACAACGCTGACTGCTGTCTAGTGCCTGCTTGTGTATTTTTGCACTGCAGACCCGCTGGCATAAACCCACACGAGCAACGCAGAGCAGTTCAAAGAACAAGGGCACTGGAATCTTCAGATTAAGAGAACCAAGTTTCACTGTTGTAAAACAGAGTGGTTCAAAATGTGGTTCTGCAGACACGATATCCAGGAGATACAGTGTTTCATAAATTTATGGAGGCAGTTTTATCATGTACACCAGTTTAACGATGTTCAGCTGTCACTCAAACATCACTGATGTTTGGCGTATGATATCGTCTTGCGGTTTAATGATGGTGGGGCGGCGCAATCAACCCTGAACAGCCCGTCTAGAGTGGTCCCATTATTTGGTATGCACTTCGCACCTCCAAAGTGTTGCTGCAGGACCACTAGCCACCATGACCCCTTGACCCTTGATAGCGAAGAGCTCGGGGTAGTTGATCAGTTTCCTTACGTTGACTGCTGCATCAGAAACGATGGGCGCACTGAGACTGAAGTCAGTTCACGTACTGCAAAGGCTAGAACTGCCTTCTTGAACCTGCAACATCTTTAACGACGGGAGTTTACCTCCATTTGAAAAGCTGTGTTTACAAGGCCACAATGAGGGCCATTCTACTCTATGAGAGTGAGACTTGGCCCCTTCGGTCTGATGGTCTCTGGTGCCTTCAAATCTTTGATCATCGATGTCTGCGGAGCATTGTTGGTGTCGGATGGCAGCAGCGTTTTCGCAACGATGTGCGTAGGCGAGTGCTAGGCAATGGTATCCAAGCTAGTTCTTTAGAACAACATGTGGCACTGAATACGTTGCGTTGGATCGGGCACTATTACGTATGCGCCGTCACCGATTACCGAGGAGGGCCTTGTTTTTTCTGCCAGATTTAAGGTGGCGCAATGCTCGAGGTGGACAAAAGTTGACTTGGCAGTGGGAGATTAAGTCACTGACGACCAAACTTGGTACCGTCAGTCTGTCTCGCCTTCCAGGCTGAAGTCCACTTGACTCGCCTTGTGCTTGGCTTGAGAGTTTAGAGGACGTGGTTCGAAGCCGACACCAGTGGTGTGTCGGCTGCTGGCTCCTAGTCGAACTGTCTGTTTAACGTGTTTGTGGCTGAGTTATCTGCGTAGTAATGGCTGATTATAACGCGCGACAGTGGAAAGCACAAAGAAGATGTCTCACCGATGCCACATTATCTTCGCACGATAGCCAGCTGTTTGTAACGGCATGTTATTGACAAGATGTAGGTGTCTTGGCCCTGTATGTTTGCCTAGGGCATCAAGATTTCCGGTAAGTCCACCTTCTCTCATTATTCTTCGTTGCATAGGTTGTTATGGTCGTAAGGCAGCAAACCATCAGTTCAACTGGCTGATGTACTGCTGTTGTTGATGATGATGAGATACTACCCGGTTGCCTAGGCCGAAGTAGGTGGGTTGTCTTAGGGGAAAACGACCCCGAGCCTTTGGCCGAAAAGCATAACCTACAAGGTAGCACGGTGAAATAAGTGTTTCCCCACCCAGCACAGCAAACCGTTTTCACCATGAATGAACCAGGATCACGTACGATTGGAACTCCGGAGTGAGCGGTTACGAAATAGTGGACGTTGAACAAAGCGTGGCCCGAGCAAATCAGACGATTTCTTTGAACCAATCAGTGTTCGACCCCACCCAAGCGCGACCCTGAATCAGCTGATAAGTGGTAACCAACCAAGCTGTACCGCTACGTTGGACCACAACACAGGACACTATGCACGCTTCCACCCTTTAAAACCCGTCACCTATTGCGGTATTCTACTTATCTGATACTAGCCGCACTCCCCACCGTAAGTATTCGCCGGTGTAACAAAATTGGGAAGGCACATGCTAATGATGCAGCTCCTAACCCCTACCTGGCGTCCTTTGTGTCCGCACTGCAAGGACGACCCGGTGCGTTTCCTTAGACGAGCAGAAGAGAACACAAGCTGAAGAAAGGACGTTATATTTATACAAGTGTACGAAGTGTACAACATTTGGATCTCCAAATTCACGATTTCGTCGTTGGTCTCTACCTGCAATGTAATCGTGAAGTAACTTTGAGTTGGAATGTGATAGTACCTAGCTCTGTTGCAGTAAAGGCCTCTGTAGCCTACGAATTGCAGATCGTACCCTTTGGGAACCGGTAGCTGAAAATTCAGTTCACACGCCATTCTGCTATAATCTTCTCACCAGACGCGATTCGGAAATTGGCACTTCACTGCTCCACAAAACTTTTAGTCCAAACGAAAGAAAAGGCAGAACACCAATGACCTTGACAAAATAACGGGTTAACCACCGTCAACACAACATTGTGCAACTGCCTCGGACCTTGACTTTAGTTATAGGTGTCTTACTGACTTGCGACTACTGGAACTGGAAGGTCAACTATCAAGGATAGCGGTTCCGCATAGGTTTGGCCGAGATGTCAAGTGGTTGGTAGTCAGGTGCAGAACGTTCGAAATTGATGCGATAATCGTAAATAATTGATGAATCGCTAAAATGGTTGATTTTCCATGTAATTCTTACTTTCTCCCCGACACCTCCCCTCCTGAGATATCGTCCGAGGTATACGATGAAAGCCTAGGATTAATGTGCAGTCTTCGGAACGGTGTTCTCTGATTGTTGGTAGACTTGCTTGGTAGAAGTGCCAGAGAACTGAGTTCCGATGTCCATCGTCTGGATTCCTTGCTCGATTGTGAGCAGTCGTCCACTGCTTCCTTCGGCAAGTTGAAGCTTTCCACCAATAAGTCGAACGGGAGATCGGTAGGCTTTGCTTGTTCTAGTTGGTACAATGTTGGCCGTAACTGGTTTGCATGTAGGGCCCAGATCTGTGCGCCCACGATGACGTCATATATGACATTTCCGCGCTTGTTTTTGACCGTCCCTGGCGTCCGCTTTGCGTGGCCTTCCCGATAGTCACATACTAGCACTTTCTGTCCAAGTGTAAACGATCGTTCCTTTGCTCCAAGCAACCGGTTAAAATCTTGTTCCATTCTGTTGTTTGTTTCACCAACAGAGGATTCCGAGCGCGGTCGGATGGCGTCGAAAGGAATGTGGAGCTTCCGGTTTATCATAGCCTGTGTTGGAGAAACTCTGTTCGGCGCCTGTGGATTCGGTGTTGATCGATAGAGGAAAAGAAACTGGTCAACTACCTCCTCTATACGTCGCACCTCTTTTGAACTGTAGAGATCCCTTGAACGTATCGATAAACCTTTCTTTCTGGCCATTCGACTGTAGGTGAAACGGCGGCGAGCAAATGTGCTGGACGGCGCATTGCTAGCAGAACTCTGTAAAAGTTGTCAAAGTGAATTGTGTGCCATTGTCAGTTACAACTGCCTCTGCACAGCCGAAGCTGCTGAAGGGTTGGAGTAGTTTTGATACAGTGGCACTGGTGGTTGTGCTATCCATGAGAAATACTGCAAGCCACGCTGTCTGAGTCGACCATAATGAGGAAACTTCGGCCGTTTATCGGTCCTGCGAAGTCAACATGGATGCGGCACCATGATTTATCAGCTTTTAGCCATGAATAGAGCTGTGCTTTTTGTGGCGCTTCCTAAACACTGGCACACGTTTGGCAGCGTTTAATTATTTCTTCTAGCGGTTTGTCCATGAAGGGCCAGTATACCTAACTGCTGGCAAGCACCTTCACCCGGTTGATCCCAACATGCCCGACGTGGAACTGCCTTGGAAATAACCACTTTCCGAAAATTAGTATTCAGTCGTTCACAATAGAGAGCGATTGTCTACTCTGGAAGTAAATAAATAAATAAATATTTTATTCTCGACAAAGCGAGTTTAACATGAACGTGGCGAACTCGTTCTGTGGAACTGTGTGACTTTCTTGAGTACTGGATCCCGAATTGTTTCGGTTCGTACGGCTTCTGCGGTAATTGGCAGATCGTGCAATGCGTCACTCACCAGCTAGTTGACGTCAGGTTCGATCTCAACCGCGGCAATAACTGTCTTCATATTCTTGCTGATGGGCATCCATTGGGTGTGTGAGTGCATCAGCTTGGCCAATGGAAATTCTCGACTGGTAGTGGATCGCGAAATCATATCTCATCAAGGTAAGAGCCCAACATTGTAGCCCATTGGCTGTGTAGGTCGAGATGCCACTTTTCGAATCAAAGATAGCCAGCAAGGGCTTACGATCTATCAGAAGTTTGAAGCTGCGGCCGTATAGCATTTTGTGGAATTGCTTGACCGCGTACACTATAGCCAATGCTTCTTTCTCGATCTGACTAATTTCGCTCGGCCTTCCTAAGTGTTCTGGCGGCATGGGCGATTGCT